CGATGGAGCCCACGCCGCCAGGTCTTCCGCCTGGGGTCCGACCCGCAGGCAGCGCTGTACTTCCTTGAGGAGGCCTCTACGTTGCGTCTGCTGCGCCACAAGCACGTGGTCGGTTTTGCGGGCGTGTGCGTGGAAGTCAGCAGCGGCATCATTCTCATGGTGGGCTTGGCTGCAGGTTGCATGGAACTACAGGAGGCGGTGCTGTTGATTGAAAGCCACTTCCTACCGCCGTTCTGGGCGCACTACAGAGCCTGCTGACCGCATCCTGGCGACTGTCTGTCCCTTGCCTCTCTGTTCGGCACTGCAGGAGCTGATGGAGGGCGGCGACCTGCGCAGCCGGAACCGCGAGCTGGATGAGAATGGCAGACGGCTGTTCGGCTGGCACCAGAGGTGAGGTGGCAGGGGAAGGGGGCTTGTGTGGACTGGGAGGAGCATGCCAGGCTGGCTGAACCAAAACCAAACTCTGCCGCTCACCCATTGGCGCCTCTCCCTCTCTTGCCGTGGTGCAGGGGTTGGCGCGTGGCGCTGGATGTTGCCCTTGCCCTCAATTATCTCCACGCGTCTTCTTACACTCACTTTGATGTCAAGGCGTCCAATGTGCTGCTGTCGCGCGATGTCACCGCTAAGCTGGCAGATGTCGGCTTTGCACGGTGAGCGCTAGGCTGGCGCTCGCCTGGCGTTGCATTTTATGGAAGGGCAGGGATTCACATAGCGATGGGCGGCAGTGGTCTGGTGGAGTAGAGTCTGGCCGCAGGGCAGTGCCCTCCCTTAGCTGCGCTGACGTGGCATCGGTTGCACGCGTGCAATGCAGAGCAATCCGCTCCACGCATCACTCCATCGAGGGCCCCACCGGCACTTTTGACTATGTGAGTGTGGGGATGGTGCAGGGTGGGTAGGGTGGAATCGCGGAGCTGCGAGTGGCGGGAGGGGGTTGAAGGGCGTGTGGAGCGAGTCACGCGCTGCCCACAGCGTTCCCCGGCTTGCCCTTATGCCTGCGCAGATGGCGCCCGAGCTGCTGACGGGGCGCAAGTGCAACTCCAGCGTCGACATTTACTCGTTGGGCGTGCTGCTTTGGGAGCTGTGCACCGGCGAGTACCCCAGCCGCGGGTCCATGCGCGAGCCGCGCGTCCCCCAGGAGTGCCCGCAGCAGGTGGCAGACCTGATACAGGAATGCCTGCAGGAGGAGGCGGCTGCACGCCCCACTGTGCGCCAGGTGGTGGAGCGCCTCACACAGCTGCAGTGAGCCAGCAGCTAAATACGGCACTTGCCGAGACACCGGTTGCGTTTGAGCGTGTTTGCAGACAGATATTGTTTGATATTTTGAGGCATTGATGTGGCAATTTTACCCACTATCCATTTTCAAGTGTGCCAGTGTCCACACCCAGTGGAGCCTACCTGAGCCCCACACCTACCCACATCACACAACACAACGCAAAACACAACATACCAAAACATGCCATGGCTGAATGAAAGTGAAGGTCTTCATCGGACATCGGCATCTCAAGAGAACATGCCCTGCCGAACGCTGATGCCCTGAGCTGCAAGCAGCAACAGCACGTGCACTGGAAGCCAGACTACACGGGCGTAGTCGGTTGCCAGCTGCTCAGCTGCCTGCTCAACCGCTGCATTGTCCAGCTCGATGCCTAGCTCGGCCGCTGAGTCTGCTGCCTCCTGCTCCAGCTGCTTCTGCTCAGGAATGGCGTGGATGGCGATGGGGGCGGTGAAGAGGCGCCCCGCAATGCTGCAGAAGGGGAGGAGGGGGTGGTGTGCCTGGGGTCCTGGGGAGGGGAGCAGGCACCATGAACCAGGTGCCGACGGAAGTGGGACTTCAGGCACCTGAAGTTTGCTGTCGCCCCTGCTTGCAGGCCCAGCTCCTGGGCCAGGTAGGCGTCGATTCCCAGGCTGTTGCCCTGCCGGTGGCGCTCCAGCCGGGCGGGCGTGGCAATCCAGCCATTGGGAAGCGGCCGCTCGATGAAGATCAGCTCATGAGTGTACTCTGCAGGGCCTGCAGGCAGCAGGTGACACTGCTGAGTCAAAACGAGTGGCAACCAGAAACGATGCGCACAGAGCCATGCCGTCAGCGCCGCTCCTCACCCCCTGGCATTGTCGCCACAATCTGGGCCTCCATGGTCTGGTTAAAATCGAAGGGAACTAGCCCACGCAGGTCCTCGCCCATGAGGCCCATGGAGGCCCACACCTGGTGTTGCTCCGTGGTCATGCTCTGGCGCCAGCGCCGCACCTTGCGCCGCTGCAGCAGGAGCACGGGGAGGACGTGCGAGGGAAAGCCAGAGGAGCTGCGAGCGCTGCGGGGCAGCAGCAAGCCTCACACACGCACGTGCTGCTGCTCCTTGGGGAGGGGGGCGAGTGCCGCATCCTCATGCCACCAGCCCTTCAATGCTAGGTGTGGTTTCTCCGACAAGAGGAGAAGGGGAAGGTCCATTCTGTTTGAGCTCTGACGGAAGCGTTGGGCACATACGTTCTGTCGCACCGGGAGGCCAAGAGGCACCAGCCCAGAGGCCAGAGCAACGGCCCAGAGGTGTTCGGTCCTCCTTCTGTTCAGCCACAAATTGTTGTAAATTTTAGTTCACCGACGAGCCGCGGCGGGCGTGCTGAATGGCGGCAAGGATGGGATCCTCAGCACACCCATTTTCCCCTGGCTTCGTCCCGTTCTCGGATCCCACTGATGCCGACAGACGGCACGTGGGCCTACCACGCATCTTCTCTTGTCGCCAGTCCGCTCGGCGGCGGCGCTCGGCGGCGGTGCTCGGCGGCGGCGACGGCTGCCACATCAGCCCAGCAAAGTTTGCCAATTGCGCTCCCGGAACAACCGCGGGTGTCATGAAATGGTGCCCTTGCCCCTTTTGAGTCTCTGAAGTGCACCTGCCGTTTCTTCATAGAGACCTCAGCAGCGATCGCGCTCGTTTCTGGGGCAAAGCGCGCGCAGCCAGCAGTGTTTTCAGATGCCCTAGCGTGCCTGGAATGGCGCAGCACGCCCCCGCGGCAATCGATTGGCGTGCATGATCGCGGCAAGCTTGCTTTGAGTGTGGCAGCAGGGGCGGCATGTCCAGCGGCTTATCGGCCAGTGCCCTGGCACGCGGCCAGGAGCTGTGGGAGCAGGCTAGGTGGGAGCAGCTAGGTGTGCCACCTGCCTGCGCCTGCTGCTGCCGCTTGCTATTGCTTCCGCTGTTTGTACAAACAAAGGAGCAGCAGCTGAAGCGCTCCTGCTTAAGAAAACCAAAAAATGCCATCGCCAATGCCCACTGCAGGCGGGCAAGGGAAGTCTCCGCGCTGGATGAACTCAAGCGCTGGGCGGCGACGGCGAACTGTGCCGAGGCGGAGCGCCTGCTTGCCGAGGCGGAGCGCCTGCTTGCCAAGGCGCAGTTGCAGTGTGCATACAACGCGCTGTTGGGGTGAGACCTGCGATTGAATGGGGAAGGTATAGCTGGCCGAGTCGGCCCCTCGCCTCCACCCGCTCTCACTTTGTGGGTGGGCTGGGGCTGGGGTGGGTGGGGTCGGTGGTGGGGCAAGGAACGCACTGCTAGAGCTGCCTGGGCCAGCAGCCAGCAGCGGCCACGGCTCACAGCTCGCAGGAGGCATCCCCAACACCTGTCTGGCCTCCTCCACCTTCTCTCGTCTCCGTGCTGCAGCTGGGCCACGGAGAACTTCGCCACCCTGGTTGGTGCGACGCCAGAGGAGCGTGCGGAGATGACGGTGGGTTGGCTGTTGCCATATGGCACAAACTGGCTCAGCTTGGAAACTGGCTTCGGACCTGCTTTCCCCCGACTTGGATGTCCAGCCCGGAGGCACTGACAGTCGGCTAGCCCGCTCATCCATCCTGTATGATGCAGGGGCACATGGAGCTCGTTATTGTGCTCGCAATGAACGGAGCGCTGGAGGCGGCTGCATGTGGCGCCTGCCAGCATCAGTCGCTACAGGCAAGGGCGTGGGAGGATCAGGGCCCGCTGTACAAGATCAAGGCACAGCGCAACGCTGTTGTTGATTGCCTGTCTCTGCCACAGGCGAATGCGAGGTGGCACGCCAACGGCTGCCTTAGGCCAAGCATCAAGCTGGGCCTGCAACCCGCGATTAACTCACCTTTGGGCCTCCCACCTGCCCCATTTGGTGCCTGCAGTGCTTCTTCCTGGCCTGCCTCATCGCGCACGCCGTCCGTGGGCGGGCAAGCGTCATACACTTATTGTCGAGGTCGCCAGTGCTGCGGAATCTGCAGGCGCTGTGGAGAGGCTGGGATGCTGTCAAGGGGCTGGCGGAGAAGCCCTGGTGGGTGGTGTGGCCGCTGGGCCGTTCCTGCTCCGACTGCTGCTTGGGATGGTCAACCTGATGCTGTGGCGTGTTCGACTGCTTCCTCCCTCGCAGGCGCGACCCACTTGCAGAGCGGGTGATTGGTGACCGCGCGCCGTATGAGATGGATGCGCGGCAGTCCAGCAGCACCTGGGTGGCGCGCGCACTGCAGGTGGGGCCGGCACGGCTGGCAGAGGCGGCGCGGGATGACAAGGCAGCCTTGGACCATCACGCAAAGCACAACAAGCTGCCAGAGCTTATGTGAGTGAGCGGCTTCGCACATGCATCGCACATCATCGCTGTACTGGGACAGCCATGGCTGCCTCGTCCTTCCACCCCTGGATGGGCCTGGACGCTTACCCTGTCTCTGATTTACTCGTCTGCTTTCCATGCTGTCCCAGTCCAGCACCCGCTCATGCTTCTTGCTGTGCAGGGCGTGCGACCGCCGCCAGATGAAGAATGACCCTGCCTTCCCTCTCCCCAGCCGCCTACCAACCCTGCCAGACCTTTACTCCGACGCCGAGCGCAAACAGCTGATGATGGCACTGGCACATATCGAGGCGCGCTTGACGGGGGTGACCATGCCGCGTGGCGTTGGCAGGATGGACACGCAACGGGTGGGTGGCTGCACGAGCCAGCCGCGGCGCTGCCTGCCTAACTAAGTGTCATGGCGGCCAGCAGGTATTGGGCAGGGGTGGCAGAGGCGGCCTGGCAGGTCGTGATACCTGCTCCTCCAGTGCTCTAAGACGCACATTGATGGTGAGGATGTGCTCCAACCTCTGTGGCCGCGCAGATGGACCAGCAAGCTGGCCGGGGACTGCCCATGCAGAACCAGCAGGGAGGCCCGAACCCGGGAGCGCGAGCGTCGGCGGTTGGCGCACCACAAGAAGGCCCCACCAGCGGTCAAGGACCACCAGGCAGGGGCAGCATGGCCGCCTGCTTGCAGGACCAGCAGGAATGGCGGTGGACTGCCGGAGAAGCCGACACAGGAAGATGTGAGGATACTGTTTTGCAAAGCTGGCCATGGCGGTTTGCTTACTGATCTGCCTCGGGCCCGCTGCCACTTGCTGCCACCCTCCCTGCTGCGCCATTCTCGTTAGCCCGCCATTCTCGTTAGCCGCCATTCTCGTTAGCCGCCATTCTCGTTAGCCGCCATTCTCGTTAGCCTGCAGGTCCGGCGGCACCTTGAGCGCAAGCTACAGGAGGGCCTTTCCATTGCTGTTGCTAACAACAGTAGCACCGGTGGCGATACTAAGGCTGTGGCTCGCAGCAAGAAGCCAGCGCCTCCCTCCAACCAACGGCAGCCGGGCGAGAATGTGACAGATACAGCGCAGGCCATTGTGATGCTGCAGTCACTCGCCCGCATCTCGCTGGCTGAGCTGGTCCAGGCGGCGCAGGAGCAGGAGCGGCAAGGTGCGCTGTCGCCAGACATGCTCCGCCGGGTGAAAGACCTGGTGGGAAGGCTTGCCGGCACCAGTGGCGATGCCGCCAGCATAGTAGCGAGCAGCATTAGCACCAGCAGCAGCGGCCGGATCTACCGCTGGCCGCCGCCAGAGCGGCCACAGCAGCAAGGTCATCAGCAGCAGCCGGGGGCGCAGCAGGGGGGCAAGGGCAAGCCAAATGCGCAGGCGCAGCAGCCCTCCTCTGATGAGGGGCTGGGCGTAGAGTTTGAGGCGCGCCAGGGGGCAGCCCTGACGCAGTTCCTAGAGACAAAGTTTCTGTCCCAAACGGCGATGGAGACGGCGGTGAGGCAGGGATGCCAGCCTGGTTGACTGGCCGCGTGGGCCGGCTTGGCGGCTGCCGTGCCTGCGTGTTGCATTGCGCCAGGCAGCCAGCCCTGTTATCCACACCGGCCCATTGTGCCACAACTCCACTGGCTGCCTCCACCGGCGACCTTTGCAGGTGCAAGCTGTACTGAGCCGGTTGCCGAGCCGGTTGCTGCGC